GCTTTCTATTCCTTACTAAAATAAAATCTCTAGGGAGTTCTAGTTCTGTGACAAGATGAGGTGGATGCACTTCTCCCTCCTCCAGTGCAGCCAGAATCCTACACATTACACTTGAAGCTAACAGAAAAAGACTTTGAAAGGTAGGTGAGGAAAGTGGACTGGACCCAGAAGAAGATACGTTTCTAGGGCTTTCTTTTTGCTTCATACACCTTGAATACTGGCGACCTAGAAATGCCAAAAGGAAGGAGCTAAAAAAAAAGGCCCAAACAACAAAAAAATTACTCTCTTTAGCCAAAGGATCAGGAAAGGGACAGTCTGCTGAGATAGAAAATTTTTAAATAATACCTGTCCTATTACAGCAAAACATCACAGGATAAACTGGGGCCTCACCTTCTCTGTTCCCACCAGTAAAGGTCAAGTGGATGCCAGCCTTTCATATTTCACTGGCTCTAGTGAGACATCCAACTCCTCTGCCTGTTGTTATAGTAGTGTCAAAGAAGGTTAACTTTAAAAGGAAGGTTTGGGTAAAACCCAATGTCTCATATCATAAGCTCAAAATGTCCCAGATACAACTAAAAATCACTCATCATATCAAGAACAAAGGATCAACTTGAATGAGACAAGACAATTAATAGAAGCCAATCCCATGATAATACAAATGTTGGAATTATCTAATAAGACTATTAAAACAGACATAATAAAAACGCTTCAAAGAGCACTTCTGCACATGCTTGAAACAAATTTAACACCAAAAAGCCCTCAGAAAATCTCTGAAAGAAGATAGAAAGAAGAAAGATAGTTGGAAATTTTAGTTCTGAAAAATACAATAAGCAAAAAACCAGCCAACCAATCAAACAAAACCTCAGTGAACTGCTGTTAACAACAGAGTGGAGAAGTAAGGGGAAGAATCAGAAGCTTGTGAAAACAACAGGAGAAATTACAAAATCTAAACAACAGAGAGAAAAGGATTTAATAACAAGAAAGCACCTTTTAGCAACGTGTGGGACTATAATAAAATGTTATATTTATATCCTTGGAGTCTGAAAGAAGGGTACTGGGCTCAAAAAGTATTAGAAATATAACAATCAAAACTCCTGTAATTCAAGACTATAATTCAAGAACCTGATCAAAGCCCAAATAAGGTAAACTTGAATAAATTCATGCCAAGACATATAATAGTCAAATTTCTAAAAACTAAAGACAAAGTCTTGAAAGCAGCAAAAGAGAAAGGACACTTTATGTATAAGATAAAATAATTTCAATGACTTCAAAGGACATAGGGACCAGAGGGAAGTGGCACATTTTTTAAGTGCCACTTAAAAAATGAAAGAAAAGAGCTGGCAACCCAGAATTTTATATCCACCAATAATATCCTTTAGGAATAACATAAAAATGGACACGGTGTTAGATGAAGGAAAGCTAAGAGAATCTGATGCCAGAATGCTTACCTCAAAAGATGGATAGAGTTCATAAAACAAAACAAAACAAAAAAGATAAATAAGGGAATCCTGGAATAGTAGGCAGGGCAGAAGGAAAAATTGAATAGATTAAAATATAGATAAATACAATAAATTTTCCTTCTCTTCAGTTTTCTAAATTCTTTTTATAAACTATTCCAAATGTGGCTGTTAAAACAAAAATCAGAATATTTTCTGATGTGCTTCTCAGTGTATATAGAGGAAGTAAGCATGTATGTAGATATAAAATAATCTTTAAAATGACTATAATGGGGGATGGTAGAGGGACTTACAGTGAAATAACTTTATACATTTAAATTAAACTATAAATTATAACCTCAGAAGACTATAATGTCATGTATATATATAACATAATATTCAGAGCAACCAATAAGTCAAGTATTTCCAAAGACATATACTCAAAAGCACTACAGAAAAATTAAAATGGAATTCTAAAAAAATGTTCAAGTAACTCACAGGCAGGTAGGAAAAAAGACACAGAAAGGAAAAGCATAGGGAACAAATAGAAAAGAAAAAAAAATAAAATGTCAGACTTTATCCCAAACATATATAAATTACATTAAAAATAAATGTTTGAGCATAATAATGGAAGTGTCAGTAGCTATACTTTTATCAGATACAGGAGATTTTTAAAAAATTACTCTGGAAGAAAAGGATATTGCACAGTCATAAAAGGGTCAATCCATCAATAATATATAGCAATTTTAAATGTGTAAGCAGCAAATAACAAAGGTAGAATTATGTAAAACTAAAATAGATTGAACTGAAAGGAAAAATAGATAATTATAGCTGAAGCTTTCAATATTACTCTCTCAATAATTAACAGAACAGTTAATCAGGTAGAAAATCAGTTAAGACATAGAACAACTTAGAAACACCTTTAGGTAACATAATCTAATTGATATTTACTTGACATTTTTCACCCAAGAATAGCAGAATATACATTCTTTTATACACTTATGGAACATGTGTCAAGATAGAACATACACTGAGTCCTAAAACAAACCAACAAACTGGAAAGAAACGAAATCAACAGAGAGTGTTACATGATGGTAGTGGTATCAGACTACAAATCAGCTGCAGAAAGAAAACAGGAAAATGTTGAAAACTTGGAAACTCAACATAACATAGCACTTCTAAATAATCTATAGATAAAAATCTCAGAGGAATTTTAAAAATACACTGAGTTGAATGAACATGAAAAGACAACATATTAAAATTTGAGACATTGCTGACTCATTTGTGAGACATTGCTGGGAGGGACATTTATAAAACTAAATGCTTCCAATAGAAAAAAGGAAGTTTCAAATCAATACTCTAAGTTCCTACCTTAACAAATCAGAAAAAAAGAACAAGACAAATCCAAAGCAAGTAAATGGAAAGAAATAATGAGCAGAAATCAATGAAATTGAAACAGAACAATAAAATAATGAAACAAAACCCTGGATGTTTGAAAGATAATTAAAATTAAATCTGTAGCAAAACAGACAATGCAAAATAGAAAGAAGACACAAATTACCAATACCAAGGATAGAACTTTAAACCCTGCAGACAACAAACAGGTAATGATGCAATACTGAGAACAAATCCAAACACATGAATTTCATGACAGATGAAATGGCCCAATTCCTCAAAAAGCACAAACTACCAGGACTCTCTCCATGTCTAATAGATAATCTGAATATCCCTGTAAGTATAAAGGAAATTGAACTTGTAGTTTAAAGACTCCCAAAATATAAATCTCCAGCCCCAGATGATTTCACTGGGAAACTCTGCCAAACATTTAAAGAATTAATACCAATTTTACACCATCTCTTCCAAAAAGAAGCAGAGAGCATATGTCTCAATTCACTTTATGAGGCCAATATTACCTCAATACCAAAACCTTTACACTAAAGAGTACAAAAAAGAAAACACCAGATTAATATCTTTCATCAATACTGATGCAAATATCCTTTAGAAATCATTAAGTAAAGTTCAGTAATATATAGAAAAGAATTATACTCTATGGCCACATAAGGTTTTATCTAGGAATACAAGGCTGGCTCAATATTTAAAACTCAGTGCAATCTACTATATTCCCACTCTACATAAAAAGAGCACATGATCCTAATAGGTATTTGACAAAATTCAATATCTATTTATGATAAAAAGCTTGACATAATCCATAACAAAAAATCAATTAATTGGACTTCATTAAAATTAAAGATTTTTAAAAATGAGATTTTTGCTTTACTAAAGATCCTGTTAAGAGACCGAAAGTACAAACTACAGACTGAACAGAAATACTTACATCCACATATCTGACAAGGGAATTATATGTAGGTGATATAAACAACTTTTAAGAAGACTGGCATGGTGGATTATGCCTGCAATCCTAGCTAACTGGGAGGTAGAGATTGGGAGGATCATGATTGATGCCAACCCAGGCAAAAAGTTTGCAAGACCACAATAAAAGTTGGGTGTGGCAGCATGCACCTGTCCTTACTGCTACCTGGAAAGCACAAACAGGAGGATCATGGTCCAGGCCTGTCTGGGCATAAGTATGAGACCCTATTAAAAAAATAACTAAAGCAAAAAGGGCTGGGTATGTGACTAAAGTGGTAGAGCACCTGCCTAGTGAGTGCAAGGCCCTGAGTTCAAACCCCAATATTGCAAAAGAAAAGAACTCTCAAAACATAATAGTAAGAACACCCCAAAAATCCAATTTTGAGAATATACTGTGTTAGTGGGTCTGTCTGAGGAGTCAGTGGGAGGTGAGAGAGGGAAACAAAATGTTAGAGAATGAAAAATACTGAAACAACTCATCTACACATGAGTATAATATAATGTACTGTGCATCATAAGTTGTTGAATATTAGGGGAGCATGATGACAGAGAAAGAGTAAGAAATGGGGGGTTAATTTTATTAAGGCATGATATATACAGGACTGAAGTACCAAGGTGATAGCCCCTTGAACTACCAATATAAACTTTAAAAAAAATGAAGGACAGGAGAATAAAACATCATTTTTCGAGGTGGTTATCAGTGAGAAGGAGTGGGCATAAGGAAAGAATGAATGAGTGTGAATATGGTGGATGTATTTTGTATTCATACATGAAAAAAGAAGAATGAAACCTATAGAAGTTGTTCTAAGAAGTGGGGGAGGAGAAAGGAGAATGATAGAAGGGGTAAATCTAAGATCTATGACATTGTAAGCGCATATATAAATATCACAATGTATCCCTCTGTACAACTATTATATGCTAATAAAAAATAAGAAAAAATTTAAAAATTGTCTCTGATATCCAGCAAATTATCCCAGACTGCTCAGAAAGGAGACATTCTAATCTTTTAGAAGACAAATCAATTTTTCATGTCTTCCACAAAAGATAGGAATTTCACTTAGTAGTCACAATTGGTATGCATCATGAGCAAGTCAGGATCCAGAAGAACGTATGTTGCTACATATCTGCTATAGTAAAAAACAAACAAAAAACAACTATTTTATACTGTGTTCTAAAAGAACAGGTAGAACTTACCAATTGTAATCCAGTCGAGACTGGTGAAGCTGCTGCTGTTTCAGAAGAAGCTTTGTCTCCTGCTGAGCCAGCAAATGCTGAAGGCGATCCTTTTCAATTTCCAGTTCCATTTTCTGAAACATCAGTTGTTTCCTTCTATCTTCTGAGAGCTGCTTTTTTACATCAGTTTCACTAGGTTGCAGTGCCCCTCCGCCATGCGCAAGGGATTCCCAAGGAAGCCCACAATAACTGCATGATTCTGGCTGGGTCTTGGAATATCGAGAGGCCATGTTTGTAGAATGGCTTTCATGAACATGATCTTCATTTTCAGAAAGTGTATGACCACAATACTGACTGGATGGAGTAGGCTTAATGTGTGGACATTCCTTTGTCTTTAATTCTTCTGGTGCAGCTTTCTCTGTTGTGAGTGTTTCTGCTAGTTTTCTCCCTGAAGATTCATAAGCACATGTTCTGGTCTCTGATGGCACCCTGTCTAGACCCTCTTTGGGATGATGAAGGGTTACTGATTTCAAAGAATTATTCCTAAATTCCATAAGGGATTCTGAAGTTGAGTCCTGGTTTGCAGACTTAGGCCTTTGCTTGGTTTGATAGGTTTGTAGTTTGGCTACATTCAAGTAGGAACCATCTAATTCTACAGATGAAGAACGGAGAGTGCTTTTTCTGTTGATTACCTAAGAAGAAACCCAATGTCACTTGTCAAACAAAAATACAATAATACAAGTTCTTTCTTTTAGCTTTTCAGAAATCAATAATGTATGTTCACTACAACAAAACTCTTACTTGCTCTTAAAAACTGAATGATAGCAGTAGCATAGCTAAACAAATATGTGCCACAAAGCCTCATCCATTTTTAAATAGCCTACATTTCAGCAAATTCATGTAAGGATGAGAAAAACAGTATTAGTATGTACTGCTTAAACAATATCTTTGGTGATCTGGGGAGTTGAAAATAATGAAGGTTACATAAAATCAACTTTGAGAAGATGCAAAAGCATTAAATGTTAATGTCTAAAATTGTTTACTTTTGAATATTGAGCCAAGAAATTCATTCAGCTACCTTAAACACCCTTTGCTTGGCCATTACATAGAATGAGATTTGATGTAAAGTATTTCACCTAATACTGAATAGTTACTGCTAGAAATTTGATGAGTTTGTATAATATCTTTATAGAATACAGATAAAACCAACCACTTTCAGCAAAATATAAGTCTAATCAAAAGCAGTAAAACACAAAATGTATTTAATTTTGGTTATAGACATAGTGATTTTTCAATTAAGCTGTTCAAGTCCTTAGGATCTGATAGAACTCAGGCAGAAAGGAAGCAGGTATAAATTATCACTGACAGATCAATAGAGTGAACATTCCCAACATTTTAGCCTTAAGCCTATTCTATTAGGGAGAGAAAAACTTGGACTATACCAGTGATTCTCAAACTTTAGCATATATCAGAATGGGTTGGCAGGGCTTATCAAACATGAGCTGTTGGTTTCATCCCTGGACTTTCAAACTCTGTCTGGAGCAGAATCTTGCATGTCTAACAAGTTTCCAGGTGATGATGATGTTACTGATATGGGATCACACTTTGAAAATCCATGGTTCACATCATGGACTATTTCCATCCATCTGACTGCCGACTGTGGCCTTAGAAGACTGAGTTGTTGTACTTAGCTCAGCTCTGAACATCACTGATTTATTATAACAAACAAGTAAATTTTCTTCACCATGTATTTCAGAAACATGGTATATCCTAATTCTAGGTTGCCCAGCTGGAAATGTTCTAGTTTAATGCAGATGCCAAGTGTGTTACAGATGAACAACTTGCTCGTGAAGGTGGATACTTAGAATTAACAAAATAATATTGGAGGAAATTAATGTAGAAGAAATAATCTTAAACTGAGTTGATAGGGGCATACAATTCTGAAAGTGACTCTAGGCAGTCATCAAACCCTTCCAAGAAATCCTCTACATTCTATTAAAATTTCCCTTCACCTTAGATCTTCAGCACAACAAATGAAGGCTACCAAGTCTAATTACTTAACTAGCAAATTGAGTTGTACAAAAAAATGTATTATTTCTAGCCACTGTTACTTCTTTGTGGGCAGCCAAAGTATAACCGTCAATTCAAAGGCTGAAAGAAACAAATCATCTACCTTTGGAGAAACTTCATTTTCCTACCTGGACTTTACTGAACAGTAAAGACAAGAGAAAGTAACTAGAAAGATTTAAAAAGTAAAACATTTGGAATAGCCTTTATAGCTTCCATTCTTATCTTCCTCTTCACTTTGTTTTTCATTTGAAGGTTATTTATGTTAACTCTTTACTTCCTTGACATTAAAAAAATCTCTATTCAAGTGAATCCAGAAAGTCATCTGCCTCCTGAACAGTAATATTAACCAAAAAAGTAAAAATCCTTCTTAATCTTCTATCCACACTGGACAGAGCAGCAGCTTTCTGGCAAGCAGTGCCCTGAGTCATTCTACTTCGGGTACAGAGCAGATGCTTGTCCTGAGTGCATTTTGGGTACAAATACTAAAGCAGAATGATTTAGCATCTTATTTGTACAAGTAAACAATAGCTCTGTCCAGCACAACCATAAGGCACAAACTGGGAAGTGATGCATTTTTGCTAATAAAAAACTACCACCAGACCAATGAATTATACAACCAAGATGCATAGAAAGATACCTCAGGCTTCTGTGTGACACACCAACCTGTCATTTTGTCACAGCTCACTTGAATGTATTTGTTATGGCCTCTCCTCAGGAACTCTCCAAGTGATGAACTCCCACTTGTATCTGGACCCTGCTCAGTGCCATCCTCCCTGCTGTCAACACCACTAACATAGATCTGATGCTATTCAGATTCCTCACGTCCTCATCTCTGAGATCTGCCATTAGTTAACTGACCATTTGCAGGAATTCTTTCATTTGTATTGGCTCTTTGCATTGATTCTTTAACTCCTACAGACTCCACTCTTTCCTACCTTTCTGTAACCTATAATATAGTCATGTGAAGTACGATGTATCATAGATATTAGAAATTAAGATAGGAACGGAATGAAGAACTTGTAATTGTGATGGTCATGATTCATGTGAAACCACAAGTATGTGGTGAAATAAAGTCAATGAAACTGATGTGGTTTACCAATCTATTAATATTCAATAAATTCTAACATTGTGGAACTACACAAATGTGTCAGTCTATGTTAATGGCATAGGTCACTTACACATACCCAACTGAAATAATCTTTCACTTTATGATTCATAGACAGTTATTTGCAGGCTGAGGGAAGTTTATTTGTTCAAGGTTGCAAAAAATATGACTCTCAATAAACTAATGCATTACAACTTTGTTAGTTTCTTATTGCTGCTGCAACAAATCACCACGAAATTTGTAGTTTAAAACAACACAAATTTATTCTCTTACATATCAGGAGGTGAGAAATTTCAAATCTGTTTCACTAGGCTGAAGTCAAAGTATTGGCAGCACTGGTTTCTTCAGAAAGCTCAGAATAGTCAGTTTCTTTCCCTTTTTCAGCTTCTAGTGACCACTTGTACTCCTTAGTTTGTGGCCTTTCTTCTATCTTCAAAACAAATCATTCCAACTTCTGCTTCCATAATCACACTGCCTTCTGCTCTGACTCTTTGTAACTCACTCTTATAAGTACTGTCTGGATTTTATGGGGCCCATCCTGGAAATCCAAAATAATTTCCCCCATCTCAAATTCCTTAATCACATCTGCAAAGTCCTTGCTTTACAAAGTCCACTATGCCATATAAAGTGACATTCATAGGGCCTAGGATTAGGACACGGACTTATGGGGGATATTATTCAGTGTACAACAAAGTCCTCTATCTATCTATCTATCTATCTATCTATCTATCTATCTATCCATCCATCCATCCTGGGGCTTGAACTCAGGGCCTTGTACTTGCTCTACCACTTGGTCCACACCTCCAGCTCTTTTTGCCTGAATCTGGGGTTGGACTGCAATCCTTTTACCTAGCTGGTTTTACAAACACTCACCATCATACCCAGATTTTTTGAGGAGTCCTGCTAACTTTTTCCCCAAGCTGGCCTCAAACCGAGATCCTCCCAATCTCTGCTTCCTTAGTGGCTGAGATTACAGATGAGCCACCACACTGGCCTCACAATGTCTTTTTAAATAAAATTCAAAAACAGTTGAGATGTTCTAGAGATAGGGAATGAATGAATATTGAGATTCCTAGGAGAAGGGTGAAATAGCTCACCAATTTATTTTGTAACAGCTGAAAATGATGGATAGTGGGTAAAAAGTGTTAACTAATAGTCATATGCAGCACCACTGCATTTCCTATTTTACGACAAAGGGATACTACAGTGATTTTTAAGTTTTTAATTGAATTTTTAAAGCAATGCTAAAGAAGTTCCATTAAAATAAGAAGTCTTAATTCTCTTCCAAGAGGACATGTAATCCTGTACACCCAACAGAAGACAAGCTACAGAAAATGAGCTAGTCCTAGATAAAATTCCTAATAAACTACCTGATAAAAATTTTATCTTATTTTACACCTAAAGGGAGACTTTAGTATACTTTAATGTCCTCTACTCTGAACTTTCATACTGCTTAATGTCGATATAAATATTTAACATTTATCATCTACTTTGTAATCTTTTAAGAGAACCACCATACTTTAAAAACGACAGTTAAATTTATAAAAGATCTAGACCCTTATATCAGCTTTTATATCATTATATAATCTAATAAAGGTATTACAACCTAATAGAAGAAAGCATGTATGTAGTATTTCATACTGACATTTGTTTCTTAGCATTATTTACATACGTACATTTTTAGGCACTGATGCATTCTATACTTACTTTAATGATACTGATAATTAGTTATCCACAAATGTCAGGTGTTTGGGATATTTAAAAAATTTTTGCATGATTAACTTTCTATGTTTTTGAGAGGTGGTACAGTTTAATGATATTTATTTATGCATTTATTTATTTATACAATACTGGGGATTGACTCCAGGGCCATGTGTATGCTAGACAAGCACTCTACCACTTGAGCCACGACCCCAGCCCAATTTAATAATTTTGATTTCTGCTTTGCTCAAAGGAAACACTGCTTTGTCAACAACCTGCTAGGTGCCTGCATGTGTGACAGGCAAAATTCTAAAATGGGTCTCCAAGATTCTTATCTTACTGGTGTACACACTCCGTATTATTCTCCTCTTGAGTGTGGGTAGGACCTACAGACATAATGGGATATTCATCCTGTGACTATGTTACATTATATAGCAAAAGAGGCTTTTCAAACGTATGGTACCTAATCAGGCTACTTTGACTATTACAAAAAGGACATAATCCTGGGTTGTCCTAATCTAATCAAGTGAGCCCATTAAAAAAGGGTCTGATTCCCCTTCTTATCCCCCAAGGTCAGATTCTCATGCCATATTGTTATGCTGTGAGAGGCTCAAGAGAGAGAGGCTCATGTGGTAAGGATTTCTGGAATAAACATCTCTCTGAGGCCAAAAACTAGCAACAACAAAAATGAGGCATTCATGGAAAAAAGCTAACTTCTGTCAATAACCATATAAGCTTCAGATAGTGTAGCCATGCTGACACCTTGATGGCAGCATTGTTGAGACTAAGCAGAAGGCCCAACTAAATTATGCCCAGACTCATGGAAACTGAGATAATAAATGTACACTTTTTAACTGCTAAGTTTGTGGGAACTTGTTATAGCAACAGAAAAGTAATTACTCAACTTGGGTAAGTCTCAGGTTCTTCACCAGTAAAACAGAGTTAGAGCATCTATTTCAAAACTGAATGAGGTGGTGAGAATGACAGTTACCATGGGTGCCAGTATATAAGGGTTCAAGTTACAAAGAGACAAAACATATTTAAACAAACTTCTTTCAAAAACACTGTATGTGTGTAGGGTATGTGTGTATATGTTTAGATCCTCAAAGGGCATATTCCACTATAACAGATTGTCTCTGTCTTCTAAAGGGGATGAGTTCAGCAACTACCTTTACTATGCTAAAATGGGGTTTACAAGTCAGGTCAGAGTTGAATTGCTTGAGATAATAGAGAGGCTCTTCATCTTTCTTTGTACAAAACTTGTCAGTCTTAATATTAATATCTCGCACTACCTCTTAGGGCTATTGTCCTAATTAAGTGAGCTAATTCATATAAACTCCTAGGATCACATAATATAAAGGCAGTATTTTAAAATGTTTACTGTTATTATTACCATTTTTATCATTGATGTCTCTGTCTCCACAACTTTTGAAGGAAGCATTTGGGCTAGCACATAGTATATTCTCAATAAGGATGAGCTCGAAGTAACAGCTTAGTAGAAAAATTCAAGTTGGGTTAAGGCTTATGATAAGTAAAGAAAAAATTATAATCCCAGAATCTTCCACAGGCAGGAAGATAAGAAGATTGAAGACAACTCAAGATAAATAAGAAGTTCTAGGTCAGTCTAGGCTTTATAGTGAGAACTTGTCTCAAAAAAAAGAGGAAGAAGAAAGAAGAAGAAAGAAGAAGAAGAAGAAGAAGAAAGAAGGAGGAGGAGGAGGAGGAGATTAGATGATTAGGATGAATCACGTAACTAAGGAAGAGGAAAAGAGAAGAAATAGAAAATTCCCTGTAAGAAGTTAAGCTATTTTATAGTGGAACTGAAAACAGGTATTGCCTCTGGGATCCCTGGAAAGAACAATGGGCCTGAATGAAACAGATGTGTTTTCTTTCTGGAGCTGTGCCATGCCTTCTATGTTATATTTACCAATACAACTACTCTTAACTAAGGCTTAACCTAACAAAAAAGCCCCAAACCACTGTCTCTGGCATATGGATTTAACATGAAACTTTTAGATACATAATACTAACTTAGAAACCAATAATTTTTTTAAAAATTTGAGGTATAGTAACATGCACAGATGTTTATAGCTTAATGAAGTTTTACATTCATATACTGTGGAATCATCATCCTATCAAGACATGGAACATTTCCATCAACCCAGGAGTTCCCTTGTACCCTTTCTAGTCAATACCACCTCTTCAGGCTCCCAGAGATAACAACTAATCTGACTTCTGTAACTGTATCAGTTAGGTTTTTTGTTGCTGTGGTAAAAATACCTGACAGAATAAACTCAAGGGAGTAAGGATTTATTTTGGCTAACAGTTTCAGAAGGTTCAGGCCATGACTGTTGGCCCATATGCTTGGGCACTGCATCATGGTGGCAGGAGTACGTGGTGGAAGCTGTTCTTTACTCTTGGTAGACAGGAAGTAGCAAGAGAGGAGAGGACTAGGAAACTCTGCAAAATCTTTAACACCACCCCCACCCCCATGACCTACTTTTGCTAGCTAGGCCTCACCTGCCAAAGTTCCCACAACCTCTCTAAATAGCGCCACCAGCTAGGGACCAAGTGTTCAAAACATGAGCCTGTCGAGGACATTTCATAATAGTAACTATAGATTTGTTCTGCTTACTGAACTTCGTATCAGTAGAATCATAAAGTATTCTACTCTTTTGTGTCTTCCTTCATTATTCAGCACTTTTTTTTCATTGTACAGACTAGTGAGATTTACTGAGTATTTCCATATATGCATACATCATGAATTGATTATGTTCTCCTCCCTTCTCCCCCATTCTTATTACCTAGTAATCCCTCTTCTACTTTCAGGTCAACTTAATTTTCTTTTTTAACTTCCACATGAGGGAGAGCATGTGATACTTGTTTATGAGTGGCTTAACATGATGTCCTTCAACTTCATCCAATTTGTTGCAATGATAGGATTTCATTCTTCTATATGGCTGAATAATATCCCACTGATATATTTTCTTTTATCTATTCATCTATTGATGGGAACTTAGCTATCATGAAAAGTGCCATAATAAACTTTGGCATGCAGGTATTTCTTTTGTATGTTGACTTCATTTCCTTTGGATATAAACCCAGGAATGAAACAGCTTGATCATATGGTAGTTTGATGTGGTTTTTGAAGGACCCTCCACACTGTTTTCCACAGTGGCTGTTCTAATATCTATAAAGGTTCAACACAAGTTTTTAGTTTCTTCTATGTTGTGTGTACCAATACTTTTTTAAATCATTACATAATATGTTGTTGCTGACAATATTACAGTTTTTAATTCATTTTCTTATTGATGGATATTAGTATGTTTGCAGTGTAGGGCTATTATGGAAAAAGCTGCTATGACTCTTAAACAAGTCTTTACTTAGACATGTGTTTACTTCTCTTGGCAATAGGATAAGAGTATGTTTAACTTTATTAGAAGCTGTAGTAAGTTTTCTAAAGTATTCATTTTATTTGTCATCCCCCATCTGCAAAGTACAAAAGTCTCAGTTGCTGCACATTCACATTAACATTTGGTAGTATTTTTGTTTTTAGCCATTCTTTTATGTTGAGAAATCTTATTGTATTTTTAATTTTCTCTATATGTTATGACACTGAACAACTTTTAAAAAATGCTTTGGGCCTTTCTAATTATCTCTTTTGTTAAGTAACTGGCAAAACTATGACCTTTAATTCAAAATAATTTTTTTAAAGGACTGAAGATGGGAAACAAAAAATAGAGGTCACAGAAGAACTTTGAGCAAATTATTTCTGATGAGAGAACTTGGTTCTAAATGGTTACCTTCACTTATCATTGAATGCTGAACATGCTCCTAGAACAGTATGTACTGTGCCATAAGTTT